ACAGAAGGTGCTTAATAAATGTTTGTTGAATTTAAATGGATTGGATAGAGATAATTTAATTCAACCCCTTAGTTTTATAGATAAGGTAACAACTAATTAGAAGTAGCTCAGCAGTGCAAGATTTCTGAAATGAGATAATCTTACAAAGGAGAAGGACTTCAAATAATCAATAAGCCTCTACTTGTTCTCTTACACTAATAGTGAATTCCCTACTACAATGCAGCCCAATGCCTCTTTGAACCACTGTAAATGTTAGGCCATTCTTCCTCATTCTGAGCCAAAATATGCTCTTTTATACCACATTCCTGGGTCTTACTTCTGGCTTCTGGGGTTAACAGAAGAGGGCTAAACTTTTTTCTTTTTCCTATGACAGCCTATTACATTTTTGATTATAGGGATAATGTTTCTTCCAAAATCTTCTCTTCTCCAGGCAAAATACACACATATATACATATGCATATGTATATATAGTTCCTTCAATATTTCCCCAAATGAAATGAAAGTTTCACAAACAAATATTTTTGAAGGATAGTGACATGTGGCTGGCATTCAAATTCATATGTTCACTCAAAACATTTATTGTATATCTTCCATGTCTATAGGATCTTCTGGGAACTGGGGCGGGCAGGGAGGGGAAACAAAGAAGAACACAACATAGTTCCTGTGCCTGAATTCCTGATTATTGCAAATTTTAAAAGTGTTAAATAAATGCTTATTGATTGATGGAAGCTAAGACATCAGTAGTGGTGTATGTCCTTTTGGTAAATCTTGTCCTAACTGACTACGATGGGGTAATTTAAGCTCTAGGGGCCAAAAATTCAGTGATTCCTTACAATGACTAGGACCCTTCACTAGGGTGTTTAGGGTGGCTGTAAAACCAACTTTTTAGTACTCCACTTAATTTTTATGTTCAGTTACCTGTTTTATCATCTGGCCATCTACCCAATCCATCTCTTCATCTTACTGCTGTGTCTGACCTGTTTCTCCATACTTGGATCAGCACCCTCCCCAATGGACCTGAGATATTTACCCCTATACCCAGGTCTTACAAAATATGTGCTGTTTAGTCCCTCTGAAATTTAATCTACCCGTCTTTGAAATGACTTCCCTAGGGCCATCACCCAGTTGATGAAAGAACAAGCATCTACAACCTGACCCATTTAGCTCACTCTGTATACTGTCTGATCCTAGACACTGGACCACGCTTCAGTTTTATGTCTCTGCCAGATACGAACTCAGGCCGTTTTAGAATCTGCTTGATGTCACCCATACATCTTCTCCCTTCCCTTTTTCCACAAACCAGAATAAAATCTACTCCCACGATCAGCTTTCTCTTTTGCATGTTGTATTCCCCTATGCCCCTCTTTAAACAAAGAACTCTCTTTTATTTAAAAAAAGGAAAAAAAGAAGTATCCTTTTTACTTAGCACTGCACCTGGCATGAAGTAAACGCTTAATAATTGTGAGTTTTTTATTTATTCATTCATTCGTTATCTTCTTTTGGAAATAAATTTCACTGAATTTAGTAATCCTTTGTTTATTAGTGATCATCTACTGTGTACATAACAATGTAGGAGCAGCTAGGGGACATAGTATGTGGAGTACTAAGTCTGGAGTCAGGAAGACTCATCTTCCTGAGTTCAAATCTGCCCTCAGACACACTCAATAGCTATGTGACCCTGGACAAGTCACTTAACCCTGTTTGCCTCAGGTTTCTTCATCTGTAAATGAGCTGGAAGAGGAAAGGGCAAATCTTTCCAATACGTTCGCCAAGAAAACCTCAAATGGGGTGACAAAGACACAGATATGACTGAAAAATAACTGAACAACAGCAGGGTGTGCATCAGTGGTGATCAAAGGGTGTGCAGTGGCATGCTAATGTTGTGCCACTTTTACTAGATGTGCCCCAGGCTGTGTGGACCTTATACATGCAATCCCAGGTGTAATTTCTGCATATCTGAAATCTGAAATTACTCATATGTGTACGAGCCTCCTGTATCACAGTTCCTCAAGGAAAGGAATAATCCTGTGCTATGAATGAAAAGAAATGTGAGAAACTCTGGTGCACGTGCCATTCTCACCCAGTGAAACACAAACTCTTTCAGTACAGGGACTCTTGCCACACTTTGTCTTCCTATCTTAGGAAAGGAACAAAAAGTCTGTGAATAACAGGTACTTAACAAATGTGTGAACTGAATTGAACTGAAAGTGAGAATAAACACAGCATCAAGCCCTGAATGGACGATAAATTGGGTGGGTCATGCAACAAAAACAATGAGGGAGAACAGATGATAGATAGCCCATGAGATGCACAGGTAGCCACAAAATAACAAAAATACCACAAACTAGATTGTCTGTGCAGGAAAAGACAGTCAATAGTCCCACTGGATGAGAAAGCATGGAAGTATCAGAACTTGCACTAGCACAGATAGAACTCACTTAAATGAAAGCATGGATCCATTTGTACAAGTTAAATAGAAATCTTAAGTGTCACTGGAACATTTCTATAATAACTTTTGTCTTTTCTTTTAAAGAGAGGTGACTAGCTGGCATAGAAGATAACATACCAGGCCTGATATCAGGAAGACTCTTCCTGAGTTCCAATCTGTCCTCAGACACTTACTAGCTGTGTGACCCTGGACAAGTCACTTAACTCTAAACTCCTCAGTTTCCTCATCTGTAAAATGAGCTGGCAAAGGAAATGGCAAAAACCTTCAATATCTTTGCGAAGAAAACCCCAAATGGGATCACAAAGAGTCAGATACAATTAAAATGATTGACCCACAACAAGTTTATTCTGGAGTGTGGTGCATTTTCAAGCATTTGGAGTCAGGAAGATCTAGGTTCACATTTCCTCTCAGACACTTAACTAAGTAAGTAATGAGCAAGTCATTTCTTCTCTGGTCCTCAGTTTCTCTGACTGTAAAATGGAAGTGGTTGGAAAAAGATGATGTCTAAGACCCTTTGCAGCTCTAAAATGATAATCCTATAATGCTGTGATGCTGTGTGGTCACAATTTGCTAAAACAAAATGTCTCATACAAGCACAACTTCCATTTTAATTTTTGTCTGAATCTTATATTAAGAATCTGTTGATTTTTACAAATATCTGCTAAACTCAGAAGAAGCATAAAAACTTATAAAGTAAATGTTCAAAAGAGCAGACCCTCCATCTCTAGCCCTGGAAGTGGTTTAAAATCTAGGGGTTTCTGTAACATTATATGAAATAAATCACTGGTCTAGGAAGTTCTATGTGAGGAGGCAGGGGATGGAGGTGTGAGTTGGAGGTGACTTTCTTTTATAAAAGGAATTGTACTTTCTCTGAAAAACAGACCATGAATAACTTCTACTCCCCAGGATTCTGTTATGGACATATCTGCCTCAATGTTTGGAGTAAAATTAGTGATGATTTTCTATATTGCTTTGGTTAGACAGCTCCTTTCAAACATAGCATTTCCAGAAGAGATCACCATCCTGTCTACAATTTCTATTTCTTTTTCATTTTCTTTCTCAAGACATCAAAGATGAATGGCAGAGGAGCTCTGTTTCAACCATATCTGTTCTCTCCTATATTTACATTTCTTAAGGTAATGAATGTTATTTCTTCTTTCAGGATTTATCAAGAATAAAGGGATTTTTCAAAAACACTGTTTGTGGCTTTATTCATTTAAATTGTTCACAGACTATAAAGTCACAAGAAATTTATACCTGGAAGGGAACATGGGAAGCATCTTAGTGGATTGCCTACCTGGGGGCCAGGGATCTCTGAGTGGGTGGAAGGACACAGAGTTATTATATCAGGTCTGGGAATGTATAAATAAGACAATATCCCTTCTGTAGGCAATAAAGATTCTCTTGTATACTGTTTTTCAGACATAGATAGATACTGCTATGATGAACAAAATAGAAATTCATGGGAAATATCACAGAATTCATGAGACTTTTGTCACTATGCATTTTTGCAACAACAGATGCGTTATTAATATGAGTACTCAAGTTGCAGAGGCAAATTTAGACCCATTTCCAATAAAAAGCCTTGCCAACCATTAGACTCATTGAGAAATAGAATCAACTGCCTCCAGATATAATGAGCTCCCCGTCATGGAAAGTCTTCAAACCATGGCAGCTCTAGTTTATGCTCTTGGAGTTATGTGTTGACTAGATAACCACTAAGATCTCCTCCAATCGAAGATTCTGTGTTTCTGCAACATGATCATAAGTGAAACCCACAACACTATGTTTTATATTATAAAGGGACATCCTGACTAGACATGTTTGTTAACTAATTATCTATTCCAATACTTCTATTTTTTTCCAGTTTAGGGTTACCAAGCCACAGAGAAGGGAAGTGACTTGTTCAGGGTCACAAAGTTAGGAGATGGTAAAGATAGGATTGAACACAAGTGTTCTGCTCCAAGTCCAGAGTCCTTTCCATTTGGTCACCCTACATGTCCAAAAAAAGTAAAATAAACTAGGGAAGTTATGGACCTTGCCTTAAAGGAAAAGAAATTTCTTTTATAGCCAGCGAAACTCTTCTGCTCAACAATATCCTTTAGCCACATCATTTTTTTCAACTGTAAATGCGTCTCCCTTATACAGAATCTTTTTTAATATGAAAGCATTCACAACTCTACCCTTTTATCATTTATATATGTGTAATATATTTATGCATTGGATATGAATATTCTAAGGGAAACCAGAGGAAAAGGAGTCCATAATCCTAAGTTCTAGTTTTATTTCCTCTACAAGGTAGTTATGTGACCTTGGGCAAGTTAGTTAAATTCAATTTCTCTATCTTGAAAACAAGAGAGTTGGATGAGAAGCTCTCTAAGGAAAGCAGGGTAATTATTGAAGAATATTCCAAAGTTTTTAAGGTATTCAATAAGATGCCTTCATTTCTTAGCATCTTACTTCTTAATGCTGCTTCCAGGAGATTTTGAAACGAAATAAAACAACTGCCCACATCCCAGCATCTATCTCAAAGCAGAGCCCAGAAACTTACCTCCACAAGACGGTTGGTGTGCTCACGAAATATGGCGGCATACTCTTTCATTTCCTTTTCCCTCCCATTCTTGGCTGCTTCAATGAGAACCAGAAGTGGGACTGTTGTGTCCAAGAAAGAGTCCGACACATGGTCAATAATGGCCTTGCGAAGCTGCAGCAAGGGAGAAATAAAGCACCCTTTTGGTTAGGCTTTAGTTTGTACTCCATTCTGTAAACTGCACACGTTATAATGTCACATTAAAGGAATCACTGGATGGAGAACTGGAAAAGACCTCAGACAGCTCTCATGTCTGGGCTTTGCATTGGTGGGCCTCCCTAAAACGCATTTTCTCCTTATCTCTGCCTCTTAAAATCCCTATTTTCCTTCAAAATTCAGATTGTTATATCTACATTCAGGTTTTCCTGACCTCCTCAAGTGAGAAAAAATTAAGTAAATGACTTGTAATAATGGCTAGTGTGCATATATGTGTGTGTGTGTGTTGTGTGTGTGTGTGTGTGTGTGTGTGTGTGTGTATAGTTATAGGTATATGTACATGTCCTCTCCCCAGAGTGAATGTAAGCTCCTTGAAGGCAAGGACTGTTTTTTTCCCTTGTGCTCCCATCAATTATCAAAGTGCCTATCCTAGATCCTAGAGGTGAGATAGGATGCTAGGTAAAATGGTCAGAGCTGCACTTTAGGAACAGCAATCTGACAGTTGAATGGAGAAAGAACTAGAGTGGGTAAAAGACAGAGTAGGCAGAAGAAGCAACAGGCTGTTATGACAGTCCAGATGTGATATCCAACCTCCCACAGGGTCGTGGCAACGTCAAAGGAGAGAAGAGAACTTGTTCAAGAGATGTTGCAACTGGTCTCAGCAGCAGCTTGGCTAGCCGAGGGCAGAGTGAGTTAGCAAGATGGCAGCTATGTAACTCAGAGGATGGCAGTATCTTTAAGAGTGACGGGGAAGTTCAAAAGAGGGAGGGGTTTTTTTGTTTTGTTTTGTTTTTCTTTGTTTTTGTGGGGGAAGATACTGGGTTCAGTTTAAGATATGTACAGAACATTCAGTTTGAGATGTGAGGGAAAGAGGTTAGGGATAGAAAAGGAGATTTGAGAATCATCCCCAGAAAGATGATAATTGAAGCCATGAAAGCTGATGGGATGGCCAAGTGAAAACATAGAGAGGGAGGTGGAATGCAATTGAGGGAAAGGACATTTTCACTGACAACAGACTAGGATAACAGATATAACAAGTACCATTGTTCCCATTTGCAGAAGAGAAAATGGATCCTAGAAGAATGAAATGAACCATCCAGGGTCATCTAGATGGATCTTTTGTGCTGGGCCTGGAATCCAGGGCTCCAGAGCCTGAAGCCACTACTCTTTCTGCTGTACCCCATTGCCTCCCTAGAGCAAGCAGTCTCCATGCTATGAGACTAAGGACAGCTGCAATATGCAAAACCCTCCTGTGAGGCTATCAAGTATCCCCTGAAGAAGACAATAAATTCAGTCTCACCCCAGCCATATGATTACTCTTCAAAGGGTTTTTTCCCCTCATTATGCTTAACTCAGAGGTCAGATTATAAAGTAGAACATCACTATTTGCCAAAAAAAAAAAAGCATTAAAATGTTTACCCGCTTATGTACACGAGTCTACATCATGTATTTTCATAATTGTAAAATTACAAAATGTTTTCTAACTTGTTGGAGGAGCTGACAATAAATTTTGATTAGCTAAATTGTAGACTTCATGGTAATTAAACCAACTGAGATCACCGATTATGCCAGTTGATAACAGATTAATAGAGCAAGGAGAATAATAAATGAGCCTGATGTCCAATTTTCTCCATTTACATTAATTGTTCTTGCAGTCCCAGCTTAAATTATTAAACAAGTCGAACATTCTGCTACAAATTAGTTCTTTTAAATTAGATTTCATGTAAGCTCATAAGTGACAGTCAGGCAATTACCCAGCTCCACAGATATTTGCTGAGTTTTAAACCCACCCAAGAAAAATGAAACACATTTTATTCATATAATGTTGAGCTCAGTAAGAGAATCAAGCAGGACAATATCAGAGTTTCTCTATTAGTGGCAATGATAATGAAAGTCCCCAAAAGGATTGGGGGACAGCCTCCTCATTGAATTTAACCATTCCTACCTACAAACCAAAGAGCCATCTTCCAAAACAAACAAAAAAAAGCATAATGTTCTTTATATCCAAATACATATGTATATATAACATTTATATATAGTATAAATAAAATGTGTCTACACATTTTATTTATACATACATACATGTGCATATCTGTGTGTCTACACACATACGTAGTGATGTTTTAAAACAAGGCAAACTCCATCTACCTCTGAGAACATGAAAACTAGTGAACTCAGGGCCCAGAGTAAAGGAATTCTTTACCTATAAGACTTTCCAAATAACATTTCATACGATCAGATATCTAGAGCTGGAATGAACACCAAAGACCATCTACTTCAATTTCTTAATTTTACAAAAGACGAAACTGAGACTAAAGTTTAATCTAAAAATCATTTCAGCATCTACTTTGTATCAGGGACTGTGCTAGGTACTGAGGCAACTGGTGGTGGACTGGATAGAGCAATGGGCCTGGAATCAAGAAGACCTGAATTCAAGTTCAACTTCCAACACTTGCTGGCTGTGAGTGGGGCAAGTGACTTAACTTTTGTTTGCTTTCATTTACTCAACTGTAAAATGAGGATAATAACAGCACCTGTCTCACAGATTATTGTGAAGATCAAATGAGATATTTTTAAAATGATTAGCACAGTGTCTGGTATACCGTAGATACTATATAAATAATTATTACCTTTTCCATTACAAAGACAAAAATGAGACAGCTCCTGACTTCAATTAGGTTACAATCTGATAACTATTCAGTAGACTCATATTTTACTGAGCTGGTTTCCCCCTCAAAAGGTAGAGATCAAAAATCCTCCATTCCTTCTCATCCACAGCATATCTCTCCATTAATCCCCCATAGATCTACTCAATGTATGGAAGCTTTCCCAAGGCTTCTTAATGTTCAGTTCCTACTAACATGGGCAGCTAGGGGGTAGCTTAGGTGGCTCAGTGGATAGAGTGCTGTGCCTAAAGTCAGGAAGACCTGAGATTAAATCCTGCATCAGACATTTAATAGCTATGTGACCCTGGATAAGTCACTTAATTTCTGTTCACTCTTATCCACTAGAGAAGGAAAGGACAAGCTACTGCAGTGTCTTTCCCAAGAAAACACCATGGACAGTATGGTCCAGGGGGTCATGAAGAGTTGGACATGGCTTAATGATTGAATAACAATAACATGGGCACTTGGACTTCTCAGATGCTATCTCTCTGTCGCCCCAGGTGAACAAGCCATCTTTTGTCCTTGTCATACGTTTCCTAGGTCATATCCCTTTTCCGTCTTCTTAAATCCCAGCTTATTTATCCCCAACTGGTATCCATCAGTATTGGGGCTACCCACAACTTTGGTGCCATAGTGATTACAGAGTTCCAAGATCTGCAAGCATATACTTTCATCAAGGGAAAATTTGTAAAGAAGATAAGTTTTTGTGTCAGTAAGAAGTTTACAACTGTAAAAGAAAATATAATTTATATACAAATATACCAAGGATGAGTAAATGGAGAATAGACAAAAAAGGAACAGGAAGGAGGAGAGTAGAAAGAGGAAATGGAAAAGGGGAAGTAGAAAGAAATATATATTTCCTGCTTTCACTGGAGACATGGGTGTCTATGGGTACAGAGTGTTATATATGCTGTCAGACACAATCAATATACCAATAGCTACATTGATTTTATTTTCCCTTTTAAATTTTCCTTTTTAAACTTTGTTGCAAGAGAAGGTTCACTGGGGATTAAGGAAACGGCATGTCTTGAAATGTATGCGATAGAAAAAGAAAAGGTATCAATAAATTGAGAAGAAAGAAGAAATGCAAGGAAAGACCAGGACACCTGAAGTCTAATACTTGGTAGGTGACCACAATGGGGGCAGGGCAGGGACTGAGGACCTGGGGAGGATTATCTGGGGCTCAGTCACAAAAGAGAGAAGTATAGCAGGTATTTTCTAATTTCAACAGATTCTTTTGTTTTGGTTCATTAGGTTCCGAGTTCTGTTATTCTCATATTATTTAAGAAATCTAAGTGTCGTCAGCACTTTCTGGCATCCTGGGCAAAAGCCCTGCTCATCCTGCCTTGTTAACGCACTAGCCATCACCTCTTTCCATCTTTTTCCCCCTACAATCCCTTCCCTGCTTGACTTTTCCTTTCCCCTTTCATTCCCTAGCTGAATTTTCTCTTACTTTCAGTTAACCCTTCTGGGGAAGTCATTAGGAAACAAGATGCTGGGTATCTGAACAGGAAGCCCCGAGATACAGATAATCCACCATTAATTCCCAAAGAAGCTTTTTACTCAAATACTTCACAATAGTTTATTGTCAAGCAAGTCTAGAATCCATTTCCATGCCAGGTATGTTGCTTAGTAGACAATAGAAAGATGGCAAAGGATTAGCAATAGAATTAGAGTACCTTAAGCAGAATAAGCTTATGGAAAGATCTGTCACAACACACTCCTAGCTCTGTTTTGAAAAGGGCTGAGGTTGCCAGCATAATTACAATACCCAACATCAAAGAGGCACTGAACCTGAGTTACCAAATAACTCTTCTATCTGCTCTGACATTAGGGATTTGGAGTGTGATATCACCACCACCCACCCATCCCCAAATCAAACAGAATTTCTCTAAATGGGTAATTCCTAAATGATACTCAACTCATCCCAATCAATCTTATCTTATGTTCCTGATCCAGTGATATATTTCATTCCATTTTGGGGCTGTGTAATCTATAGTGAAGGGTCAGATTCTAGAACTGATAATCTATGGGTTCCATGACACCGAGAAAGCAAATCAGCATGCCCAGGCTGGCATTTATCTTTGCCACTTCTTTGGAGACCTGGGGTTCTTCCTTTTATTATTATTTTTTTCCGTCACGGACTCTTTCTGTAGACTATTGAACTTTATGGATCTCTTCTCAGAATACAATACCAATAGCACAATTATCAATAACCCCATTGCATGGATGAGGAAACTAAGGCTCAAAGAGGCAAAATCACTCGTATATGTTTATACGATCTATAAGTGG